ATATATATTTGTATAAATAGTACCGTTATGACACTTTCCCCATGCTTCCCCTCTTGTCCTCTGGCAGTGAGTTTGAGGTGTGCTGTTCCTGCCACATGTCTACTCACCAACACAAATTCCAGCTCAGCCAGATTGAGCTGATCACTTTTATTGACAAAACCAGGGTGATTCATTCCTGAGCTGCCAAGAATTTGGTTCTCTCGCTCCAATTACTGTGTGAGTCCCTCATGGCAGTGACAGCACCCGAACCCTCCAAGTGTGTGCTTGGCAACATACTTGGAATCAAATCCTTCCTTCCCAACCAGGCTCTTTGCCACTAATGGCTGTTCAGTCTTCTTTTCTTCCTGACATTCTGGCTGGTTCAACGTCACTTACTCCAACTTTTCACCCTCTGTTGCCAGTCAAGAAGAATCCCCTCTCCTGCCTCGCGACGACAAACAAAGCAAATGACTATTCCTCACCTAAAGCAACACTTATTTATTAGTCACTTTCATAAATAGATGGACATTCTTTTGTTTGCTTACTGTGTTTCCAAGGTTGTCAGAGCTTTCTGTTTTTGAGAGGTTCTGAAATTTAAGGCTGACCTACCATTATTACACTAAGTTCTTACAAGGTCAGCTAACTGCTGGCACAAAAGCACCCCAAAAGGCACGGCTTAAGGCAATAATAGCTGTCAAAATACATGATTTTTATTACTTACTGCTTGATTTCTTTCCATATTTTTTTTTTATTTCTGTCGACTCATCATTAAAGCTTGCAGCTGCTGTTTCTTTTCAGAAGAATAGAGAAAAACCACTTATTTTATTTTTTTACTTTAGACTTTTGAATATCTCTGATTTTATTTCTATCCGTCCCTGTTTAGACTGACAGAAATAGTGTAAACAAACAACACATAATTGCCAGTCTGAATCTTCTCAAATAAAGAGAACTCATGTGCCAGAGCAGATTAACAATCTAACACATTCTGCTCTTGTTTAGTATATCAGTCTCAAAACAAGACCAAAACAGTTTTCAGTTGGATTGTAAGACTTGGTTTGATGGACA